TTTTCAGCAAATTCGATTCACTCTATATGATATTGAGAAATGGCTGGGGACACTGGACACTGCAAAGGCTACAGGCCCTGACACATTCTGGCAATAGTACTGAAGACTTGTGCTTCAGAACTTGCCACTCCCCCAGCTAAGCTCTTCCATTACAGTTACAACAGTAGCATCTACCTAACAATGTGGAAAATTGCCCAGGTATGTCCTGTATATAAAAAGGACAAATCTCACCCAGGTGATTACCACCCCATCAGTCTACTCTCGATCATCAGTAAAGTGATGGCAAGTGTCATCAACAGTGCTATTAAGCAGCATCTATTTAGCAATAACCTGCTCAGTGATGCCCCAGTTTGGGTTCCACCAGGGCCACTCAGCGCCTGACCTCATTACAGCATTGGTTCAAACAAAGACAAAAGAACTAAATTTCAGAGGTGAAGGGAGAGTGACAGAACTTGACATCAAGGCTGCATTTGACTGAGTGTGGCATCAGTGAGCCCCAGCAAAACTGGAATCAATCAGTATCAGGGGGCAAACTCTCCGCAAGTCGGATGGTGAAGAATTTGTCAAATGTGCTGAAGAAAATTTTCTTTACAAATTTATGGATGGTCCTACTAGAAAAGGAGCAAAACTAGACTTCTTTTGGGGAATAAGGCAGGGCAGGTGACTGAAGTAAAAGTGGGGCAGCACTTTGGTTCTATCAATTATAATTCTATTAGTTTCAAAATGATTCCATGAAAGTTAAAGTTTTTAATTGGAATAAGGCAAATTTTAATAGTATGAGACAAGAACATTCAAGAGTTGTTTGGAGTAGACTGTTGGCAAGTAAAAGGATATCTGACAAGTGGGAGATGTTCAAGAGTGTGATAACAAGAGTTCAGAGGCATTTTGTTCTTGTTAGGAGTGAAGGGTAAGGCTGGTAAGATTAAGGAACAATGAATGAATAAAGATGTTGAGGCTCTAGTCAAGAATAAAAATATTTTTTTTTTAGATATAGACAACTTGGTTTAATTGAATCAATATAAAGAGTGTTGGGGTATTTTTAGAGAGAAATCAGGAAGGCTAAGATGGGATAAGAGATAGCATTGGCGGATAAGGTTAAGGATAATCCAAAAAGATTCTACAAATACATTAAGAGCAAGTAGGTAACTACAGAGAGGGTTGGACCTCTTAAAGATCAAGAATGTTGACTTTGTGTTGAACCCCAGGAGATGGGAGAGGTACCAAATGAATATTTCACATCAGTTTTACTGTGGAGAAAGAAATAGAGTCTAGAGAATACACAGAAGTAAACTTTGATATTTTAAGAACAGTTCACATTACAGAAGAGGATGTTCGGGAGGTCGACAGGTGAGGTGACTGATGACAGGAGGATGCCTAATGTTGTACCTTTGTTTAGGAAAGATTGTAAGGAGAAACTGGGGAACTATAGACCTGAGAGTCTGACTTCTGTTGTGGGTAAATTGTTGGATGGGTGCAGCTCCAATACTGAAGAAGCTTGACACCATCCAGGACAAAGCAGCCTGTTTGACTGGCACCATATCCACAAACATCCACTCCCTCCACCACCATCACTCAGTAGCAGCAGTGTGTACTATCTACAAGCTGCACTGTAGAAATTCAGAAGATCCTTAGACATTAACTTCCAAACCCACAACCATTTCCATCTAAAAGGAAAAGGGTAGCGGATATGTGAACATCACCACCTGCAAGTGGACTAGGGATGGGCAAGAAATGCTGGCCAATCAGCGACGCCCACATCCCACAAATGAATAGAAAAAAATGTTCCCCTCCAAGCCATTCGCCATCCTGACTTGGAAATATATCACCATTCCTTCGCTATCCTGGAATTCCCTTCCTAATGGCTTTGTTGGTCAACTCACAGTAGGTGGACTGCAGTGGTTCAAGAAGGTAGCTCACTACCATTTTCTCAAGGCAATGGGCAATAAATGCTGGCTTGCCAGTGGCACGCACATCCCCCAAATGAATAAAAAAACAGCCAAAATTTCATTTGCCTTCCTTATTACCTGCTGTACCTGCATACTAGTTTTCTGTGATTCATACACAACAACACCCAGATCCCTCGGCACTGAAGCGTTCTTAAGTTTCTTTCCATTCAGGTAATAAGATGCCTTTTTATTCTTCCAATCAAAGTAGATAACCTCAACTTATTCCCGTTAAGTTTCATCTGCCAAATTTTGGCTCATTCGTCTTAACTATCCATTTTCATTTATAAATTTCTTCATTGCAACTTACTTTCGCACCTATTTTAGTGCCATCTACAAATTTGGGTATAGCACTTCCTATCCCTGTGTAAGGAAAATGCTGACAGTGGCACACTATGAAACTGCTAATGACTAAAAAAAATTCCAGAAATACAATGGACAAAGGAAATCTTTGATAATGTTGAATAAAAGAAACTTTGATCACAAGGAGGTCACAAGTCAGTGTTCAAGATTACATCCAGGGACCAAAAAAATGCTCAATTTTTTGTTCGCTCGTGGGACATGGGCATTAATAGCTGATTAATCCCTAGTTGCCATTGAGACTTCACCTGATGAAGGGGCTATGCTCCAAAAGCTTGTGATTTCAAATAAACCTGTTGGACTACATCCTGGTGTCATGTGACTTCTGACATCCCAGTCGAACACCGGCACCTCTGCATCATGCCGTTGAGCTGCCTTCCTGAACCACTGCAGTTCACATACAGTGGGTTGACCCACAATGTCCTTGGGGGGAATTCCAGATTTTGACCCAATGACAATGAAGGAACGGTGATATATTTCCAAATTAGGATAGTGAGTGGCTTGAAGGAGAACTTGCAGGTGGTGGTCTCCCCATGTATTTGTTAACCTTGTGCTGTTGCATTTATACATGGACTGCTTAAACATCTGAGAAGTTGCGAATGGTGCTGAACATTGTGCAATCATCCACGAACCTTGATTGGATTGGATGCCTAGTCTTGAGTTGCTAGATTCTCAATGTGAAGGCAGGACTTTGTCTCCACAAGGACTGTGCAGACCCAATCTCACAGCTATGTCCTTAAGGACCTGACCAGCTCAGTCAGTACTGTTGCTGCCAAGCCACTGTTGGTGGAGGACTTTGAAAATCCTCAACTAGAGTACATTTTGTACCCTTGGCACACTCAGTGCTTCCTCCAGTGTGCATCATGGAGGAGTACTGATTCATCAGTAGAGGGATGGCAGGTTTTCTTGCCCAGATGACCTGAAGTCATGAGACTTCATTGGGTCCAGAGTCAATGTTGAGGACTCCCAGGGGAACTCCCTCTCGCCTGTATACCACTGCCACCACCTCTGCCTGGTCTGTCCTGCTGGTGCGACAGGACATATCCAGGGATGATGATGGTGAGGTCTGGGACATTGTCTGTGAGGTATGACAATGTCAGACTGTTGCTTGACTAGTCTGTGAGACAGCTCACCAAATTGGTACTAGCCCCAGATGTTAACATGGAGGACTTTGCAGGATTGACAGGGCTGTTTCTGCCATTGTCTTTTCTGGTGCCTAGGTTGATGCCAGGTGATCCATACAGTTTCATTTCACTAAGATTCCATAGCAATTGATACAACTGAGTGGCTTGCTAGGCCATTTCAGAGGGCAGCTGAGAGTCAATCACATTGTTGTGGGTCTGGTATCACATATAGGCCAGACCTGATGAGGATGGCAAAATTCTTTCCCGAAAGACATTAGTGAACCACAGTGGTTTTTCTGACAATCGACAGTGGTTGCACTGCCATCAGTTGATTCTTAATTCCAGATTTTTAAATTGAATTCAAATTCCACTAGCTGCCGTGGCAGGTTTCAAACCCAAGCCTCCGGAACATTAGTTGAGTTTCTAGATTCATAGTCTAGCAATAATACCACTCGGCCTTCGCCCCCTAAATTTTTTGCTAAAGGAAGGAAATATACAAGTCGGGAAGTGTTGCTGCAACTGCGCAAGGCATTTGTGAGACCACACCTGGAGCATTGTGTGTAAATTTTAGTGAGGAAGGTTGTTGTTGCATTGGAGGCAGTTCAGAGGAGGTTCACCAGATTTGTTCCAGAGATGAAGAGTTTGTCTTATCCAGAGAAATTGAGCAGTTTAGGCATTTTATGCACTGGAGTTTAAAAGAATGACAGGTGATGTAACTGAAATATACAAGATGCTAAACGGAACTGACAAAATAGATGTAGAAAGGGTGCGTCCTCATGTGGGGCAATATAGAATGAGAGATCATCATTTTAGAATAAGGGTTGAAAGATTTAAAACAAAGATGAGGAGAAATCACTCCCTCAAATGGTTGTGAATCAGTGGAATTCACGACACCAGAGTCTGGTGGATGCCAGAACATTGAGTAAATTTAAATAAGGAGATGGACAGCATGGGCAGGAAAGTGGAGATTAGGCCGAGTTGAGGTCTGCCATGATTGTATTAAATGGCGGATCAGTCTTTAGGGGCTGAATTGCATGGTTATGCTAATTTTTATATTTTGTTTCTTTGCCCCACTACATATGCTGTTACACAGGAGTTTCAAATGGATTCCAGCCTTTCTTAATCATTTTTCTATCAGTTTCTTGCTTTAATCAGTTCAGTGTCGAGTGACCCTTCTGGTCCCCACTAAAGTTCTCTATTCTCGGCCATCTGCACAGGCTTGTCAGGGTTATTTTTAGTTAGTGGTGTGGTTCTTATCTTGGTCTCTCCCAAGACTGAACTTGTTACTTGCGACTGATACCAACTGTATTGCTACAACAACAATCATAACAATACAGCTGTTTCACCTCAACGTATATTTCTCACCCCCTTATACTCATGTCCAGACTTTCATTCTTGAATGGGTGCCTGACACTTCTTGGAACTGAGACTAATTTTGAAGGTACAGTATACTCACACAGCAACTTGTCCTTATTCCCTCTCAATCTTCTAAGTCCTTTAGATTTTGTTCATGACCAATTGAAAGGCCAAGTGGACAGTGTTAAATAACAGAGTCAATTCTAAGCAGTCGGAGTGCAAGATATAAGTGGTTTAATCACATGCATGGAGAAACAGCTCAAAGGCTCTGAGTTGCAAATAGTTGTGGCTTTTATACATAAAATACAGTTACATGCCCTATTCCGTGCAGACAACTTACCAACTACTAGCATCAGTGCATGTTCTAACTGTTACTCTAATATTTAAACCTGGCTTTTTAGAGTTCAAACGGCTTTAAACAAAATAATAGGTTTACTACATTTAAGCAGGTTAAAGTTATTCAAAGATAAGAAAATGCTTTGTGAAAACAGAAGAAAATTAAAATATTTTCCTCATAGTATTACATTGCAGGTTAAATGCCTAAATTTCAAATTAGCGATTGCTAACTGGCATGTAATGTCCTGATTGGTGCAAGCCTGGCCTCTAACTTAAGGAATTTGACCTGAGAGTTACCCAAATCATATGTCCTGGAGTTCCACTGAAGGTTTGTTAACTGGTTTTTGAGTTCTCTCTCGAAACTATGTGCAGGCCACACATTAACTATGGGAGTTCCATGGGCCTGATCCTGACGTCCCTGACCTCAGGGTCACAGCCTCATCATCTCCATTCTCTTCACTACCGGTAAACTCATTTCTCAGTTGTAGACAGGTCTCAGCAGTTTCTCAAACGGGGGAGAGGTCATTCTTTATTTTGTGTCCTTGGACATCTGTAATTATGTGTGTATGCAGTCTATCAGGAATTTTCCATACTGTAGCTATTCTGAGTTAACCCTTTATATCCTTGCTATCCCTTTTAATGCTATTGCTTTTTAAAAAAAATTTACTTTATTTTACCCTTCATTGTCATCTACCATAACGTTCCAGTAAGAGTGCAGAGGTCTACTCCCAGCTTCATCCATGGAGTGTCATGAGTCATGAACAGCCCTCTCGAATGCTTGGCTGATGGTTTCAGGACATCTTTTTATCACAATTGCCTGTCACATTTGAAGAGAGCGTGAAGACAATCAGTGCAGGAATCCACACAGAGAATGGTGGGGATATCAGAGCAGGAATAGTGTAGCGGGGTTGGCTGGGGAAGAGTCAGAGTGATAGGATCAGTCAGGGGTACAGTCAGCAAGTTGGGAAGTAGTTTTTAGGGTTGCAGCTGATAATTTCAGACAACTGTTCAGGTAAGTACATTGGAACTGTTAAAACTCTCTGACACAAATTCCTTTGAAATTTTTTAAAGAGGATCCCTGAGAGGATATTGCCTGTTGGAATTTGAAACATCCCAAGCAATTCCCATGGGGTCAGTACGTTAGAATGTTTGAAGGTTCCAGTGCACAATTTGGGTTTATAACCCATTTCTGATGATATGGAGACTAGAAGATCTTTTCCAACACTTCTGCTGGGTTGATGATTTCCAGAGCATGTTGTGCTGTTGCTTCTTGTTGAATCTGGAATATTTCACACTGTGTATCAGCATCAACTTTCTTCAAAGAGAGTGCAGCTCCTGACAGCATATCACTGATGTACGTCTGCTTCCCTTGCTTGTACTTCTCTTCAAAGTGATATATCTCCAAATTAACTAACATCCTTTACAAACATTTGGAACAGACAGAAATGGTTTGGGAAAGGTACTTGAATTGGCTTGTGATCAGACTTCACCATCACATTCTCTCTCCCAAACAGGTACTGGTTGAAAAGTTACAAGCAAAGACAATATCCAGGCCCTCAATCTATGTATAGCGTTGTTCAGTTTGTGTTAATGCACTGGATACAAACACAACTGCTTATCCTCACTGCATGGATGTGTTGATGGACCAGGAGATAGACTGACTGGGTGAAAGTATTGTCAAGTCTATTGAACAAACATCACAAATATTTGTTCCTGTGAAAATCATGTGGGGTCCCCCATGGTCAAAGATATCACAAAAGCTTCATCACAAACCTCAGGTTGAATGGGTTACTCCCCTGTGTGGATCCTCTGATGGAGCAGGAGGTTCCAGGACCTCGAGAATGATTTCGTGCACACCTCGCATGTATATGGATTCTCACCTGTGTGGATACATTGGTGTCTGCGAAGGCTTTCTGACTGCGAGAATGATTTATCACACACCCCGCACATAAATGGTTTCTCCCCTGTGTGGAGGCGTTGGTGTACCTGAAGAATCCCTGACTGAGAAAACGATTTGTCACATACCTCACAAGTGAATGGTTTCTCTCCTGTTTGAATATGGTGATGTGTGCGGGAGGTCGATGATGCTGAAAATGATTCATTGCATACCTCACAAGTGAATGGTTTCTCTCCTGTGTGAATGCGCTTGTGTCTGCGGAGGTATGACAAATCTGAGAATGATTTGAAACATTTGACACACATGAACGGTTTCTCACCAGTGTGAATACTTTGGTGTGTGTGGAGGGTCGATGATGATGAGAAGGATTTACTGCACACTTCACAAGTGAATGGTTTCTCCCCTGTGTGAATGCGCTCATGTCTACGGAGCGACGATGAATCTGAAAATGATTTGTCACACTCTTTGCATGTGAATGGCTTCTCTCCTGTGTGGATCCGTTGGTGTGTGCGGAGCTGTCCTGATTGTGAGAATGATTTGTCACACACATCACATGTGAATGGTTTCTCCCCTGTGTGGACACGTTCATGTGTTCGGAGATTCTCTGACCGTGAGAATAATCTGTCACACACCTTGCATCTAAAAGGTTTCTCCCCAGTGTGGATGCGTTGATGCACACGGAGGTGTGAGGACACTGAGAATGACTTATCACACACCTCACATGTGAATGGTTTCTCTCCTGTGTGAATCCTCTGATGACGCAAGAGTTTCGATGAGTTGCAGAATGCTTTGTCACAAACCTTGCACTTGAAGGATTTCTCCTCAGTGTGAGAGCGTTGGAGATTCATGAGCTTTGAATTCTGTGTGAAGTCTGGATAACACTTGACCTCACACTTCAACAGCCTCTTACTTGTCAGGATGAGTAGTGGTTGATGAGACTCGACGAATGATTGAGGCTCTCACCACACTTGGAGCCCACTCACACTTCTGCCCAGCCTCACCCAGACCAATCACCCAAAGCTGAACCTTCAGAAAGGCTGGTTGTGATGGAGGGTTCCACACCACTGACCAGTTTCAGATCTGATGATATGCCAAAGCTCCCCAGATCTAAACAATTTCCAGAAGATAGTTTCACTGAACAACCTTCTCTGTGTTGAGCATTGCTGTGAAGCAACTTAGTGTCTTCCCACAATTGTGCAGTTGTTCCTTGGATGATGGTCAGGATCTGCCTGCGATGTCTATTCTCTCTGTATTCTCTGGTGTAGTACAGTGCAATCCTTCCTGTAAAACAGCAAAAGAGAAACATGATTTCCTCCAACTCCCTTGCCTCCTTTACTGAAGATGATCACTTTTTATTCATTTCTACGCAGAATGAGAGTGTCACTGATGAGATCAGTATTTGTTCCCCATCCTTAAGTGCCCTGCAGAATGAGATGCTAAACCATGCTAATGAACCACTGCTGTCCATGGGAGTGAAGGGATATCCACAGCACTGTTAGGAAGGGAGTTTCACAGGATTTTGACCTGGTGACAGTGCAGCAATGGTGATATAGTTCCAAAATTGAATGCTGTGCAGTTGGAGGGGAATTGGCAGGTGGTGGTGTTCCTGTGGATTTACAAATAAGGAGGAGGAGTAAGCCAATCAATAAGATGTTGGTTGAGATAACAAGGTGTAGAGCTGGATGAACACAACAGGGCAAGCAGCATCATAGGAGCAGGAAGGCTGACGTTTCAGGCCTAGACCCTTCATCAGAAATGGGGGAGGGGAAGGGGGATCTGAAATAAATAGGGAGAGAGGGGGAGGCAGATAGAAGATGGATAGAGGAGAAGATAGGTGGAGAGGAAACAGACAGGTCAAAGAGGCAGGGATGGAGCCAGTAAAGGTGAGTGTAGGTGGGGAGGTAGGGAGGATCTGATTTTGGCCTCAACTCCACATACCAACCTTTCTTTGCTGTTCCTTGACCTTCTAAGGTATTAGAGGTTTGGAAAGTACTTTCAAAGGCTTTTTGGTGAGTTACTGCAGTGCATCTTGATGATGGCGCACACTGCTGCCAGATTGTGACAGTGGTGAAAGGACTGAACATTCAAGGTGGAGAATGGGATGCCAGTCAAGTGAACTGCTTAATTTTGAATGGTGTTCCACTTTGTTATTGGAGCTGTGCCCATCCAGGCAAATGGAGGATATTCCATCACACAGAGGATGTTGAAAGAGTTTGAGACCCTTATACATCATGAAAACAACATGAACAGGGATAGAAATAATCTAAAGGCTGATGCAATGCTGGCCTTTAGATCTTAAGAAAAAGTGTACAAGGGGGTAAAAATCATGTTTCACTGATACAAAACTCTGGTTTGAACACACCTAAAATACTGGGAGCAGTTCTGGGCACCACAACGTAGGAGAGAGATAATGGCCTTGGAAGGGATGAAGTGCAGATTTACTAGAAACATCCCTGGACTGCAAGGGTTAAAATTATGAGGCGAGATTAAACAGGCGAATTATATTCCTTGGATTTTAGAAAACAAATAGGTGACTTAATCAGCATTTACAATTTATTAAGGGGACAATGAAAGGTTAAATTCCCACCTGGTCAGTTTCACAAGCTTCAGGAAACTTAAATGTCACTCCAAAATATTTGCATTTGCTGTGATAGACGTCAATCAGAGAGCCTATCCGCTGTACTCCTCTCATCGTCATCAACAAATAATTCACTAATTACCAGTCCACAGGATAATACACACACACAGATCTCAACAACACGAAATCAGTAAGAACCATGTGACTCTGCACCTCCCAGATAATTACACCTCACCTTCTCATATTCAGGAATGAGCCACCAACAAAATTCAGCCTTGAAATCAGAAGAGAAATGTTTTCAATGAGCATCCAACACACAGCTCCAGTCAAATAGTTAGGCACTAAGCACCGAGTCAATAAGTCAATCACTGAGGCTGGATGTTGTCAAACAGCATAAAAGGCATTTCCACCTCTGACTGGCTGTATGATAGTCAGACTGCCTGAAGATCGGTGTGAATATTTTGAGATACAATTTGTATAAAATCTACTCATTCACTCACCATCTCCTCACTTGGTTTTCAGTCCCTATAGGAAGTGAAGCAACTCTCGAAGAGGAAGAGGAAAGAATGGGCAGAGTGGGTGGGCTCTCTGATTGATATCTGTCACAACCAATCCAAATATTCTTGGCGCGACAAGTTTTCCAAAGTACATAAAACTGACCTGTGAAATGGAGACGACTCAGAGCAGCAGATCAGGCTGGGATGATGCTAAAACAGATTGGAACATAAATTACAATGAAGAATTAAGAAATTTACAAGTGGATACGGACAGGTTAGGTGAATGGGCAAAAATCTGACAAACATTATATCAGATGGATAAGTGTGATGTCATTCATTTTGGTCGGAAATAGAACGGTATCATAATCTAAATGGAGAGAAACTTCAGAGTGCTTTGGTGCAGAGGCAGCTGGGGTCTCCATGGATGAATTGCAGAAAAGCAATATGCAGGTAGAGCAAGTAATAAGGAAGTCAACTGGAATTTTGGCATTTATTGCTAAAGGAAGAGAGTATAAAAGTAGGGAAGTAACTCTGCAAGGCATTAGTGAGACTGCACCTGGAGTATTGTAAACAATGTTAGTCCCCTTGAGGTGGGATGTAGTTGTACTGGAGGCAGTTCAGAGGGGATTCAGTAGATTGATTCCAGAGATGAGGAGGTTTGTCTTATGAAGAGAGATTGAGCAGTTTTGGCCTATACTCTCTGGAGTTCAGAAGAATAAGAGATCTAATTGAGGTGTAGAAGATGCTAAAGAAGACTGACAAAATGGACATAGAAAAGATATATCCTCATGTGGAGCAATCTGGAATGAGAGGTCGTAATTTTAGGATAAGGGGTGGCAGATTTAAAACTGAGATGAAGATAAATTACTTCTTGTAAAGACGCATGAATATGCGGAATTCACTACCCCAAACAGCAGTGGATGCTGGGACATTGAACAAATTTAAGGAGGAGATAGTCAGATTTTTAATTAGTAATGGGTTATGGAGAGTGGGCGGGAAAGTGGAGTTGAGGCCAAGATGATATCATTCATGATCGTGTCAAATGGCGCAGCAGGCACAAGAGGCTGAATTGCCTACTCCTGCTTCTAGTTTTTATGTTGTTAAAATGATTATTATCCCACCTGAACAAAACCTCACTGATTTGAGCTGCTGTCTCAGTTCTTCTGGTAAACATTTGATAGAGATTTCTAGTGTTGGAGTAGCATTCATTATCCTCAGAGGCTTTTAAACTGATAGCATTAGCATTTGAGATTGTAGCCTCAGATGTGTTTGACAGCAGATCAGAAGATTAAAACCACAGCATCCAAGGCAGCAATGATATTCAGTGGTGGGATCAACAAATGCACAGGAGCGAGAGAGAGAGAGAGAGACTGGAGGGAGTGGACACAGGAATGAGGGGCACAGGACAGCAGGTTCAGGGAATGAATCCTTGCTCAGGGAATAACCTGTCCTTGACCCAGAGTAATTGGGAGTGACTTGCAGAGTGAATCCTCATCCTCACCTCTCCATTAGACTTTCACCCCTTGCCTGACACTACATCCATTTCTTCATCCTTTACTCTGCTCTCAATCTCACACGATTCCATGTTCCGTTCCAGGATTTGGGAGACAACATGTTCAATGACTGTTGATAGGGCAGGGAACTCACAAAACAGCATTCAGCAAGAACTGAGGAGGTCAAATTTTGTTTTTCTGAGAGGAGTCATTAAATTTTTGACAGCTGATTTAAAGGAGTTAGGGGCAAGATCTGAAGAGAGAAAACACTGAACAATCTTGGCTAACATGGGAATCAGGAAGCGAAGCTGGGTATTCAGCAGTTTAGTGAGAATAGGGTCGAAGGAACATGATGTGAGTCTAATGGACAAGATGACTCAGAGAGTGCAGGAGGGCTGATAGGAATGAAACTAGAGAAGGATGAGAGTTTAGGGCCAAGGGGCAATGGAAGGGAAGCAGGGGCAGCTGATGGGATTGAATATTATTTCCCCGAGCAGAGAGATCAATAACCAGGGAGCAGAGATTTAAAGTCATTGATGGAACAATTAGACAGGAATTGAGGAATAATTATTTTCACCCAGAGGGAAGACATCCAGACCCTTTGCAGCATTACTCAACACAGAGAAGGTTGGGCAGTGAAACCATCATCTGGAAATCGGTCGGGTCAGGGGAGCTTTGACGTTTCATCAAATCTGAAACTGGTCAGTGGTGTGGAGCCTTCCATCAGAACCAACCTTTCTGGAGGTTCGGCAGTGGGTGATCGGTCAGGGTGAGACTGGGAAGAAGAGTGAGTGGCTCCAAGTGTGATGAGAGCCTCATGAACTACTGACTCATTCCTACAGACGAGAGGCTGTGAGGTATGAGAGGAGGTTTCCACGAGCTCAGAAAATGTCCTAATTCACAAAGTGCATCTGATGACTGCCTATAACACAGAGATAACTCCCTGGAAGAGAAATCATTCAAGTGTGAGATGTGTGACTGAGTTTTCAGACAGTCATCAGCATTTGTGAATCACTGACACATCCACTCTGGAGAGATGCTGTTCAAATGAGAGTAATGTAGCAAGAGCTTTGCACAGCCTGGTTAATCATTAGCTCAGTCACACTGGGAAGAAACCATTCATGTGCAAAGGTTGTAGCAAATCATTCTCATAGTCATCAGATCCTCACACACACCAGCGCACTTACACAAGGGAGAAACTGTGCACATGTGAAGTGTGTAACAAATCATTCTCGCAATCTGAGAATCTCCACACACACTGAC